AGGACGCTACTGCTCCTGGCCATACTACTAGTAGCTAGAAGCTACTTAGGGGCTCCTCGCGTTACTACTCGGAGCAAGGACGCTACTAAGGGGCTCCTGGCCATATACTATTCCTGGCCTTACTACAAGGACGCTACTGCTCCTGGCCATACTACTAGTAGCTAGAAACTTTCCCTTTTTCCTCTCTTTTTCATCACCGAATGGGTCGTGCACGCACCGAGACGCGCCAGGCCGGAGCTTCCTCACGGCACTGGGGGAACGGGTGAACGTGCCCGACGAGGTGCCGCTGTCGAAGGGGACTCACCCAGGACTCCGAAATGACGTGAGTCTCAAAATTTGTGCTGCTTCATCTTCTTTTTGATGGACTCAAAATTAAGAAGGATACTGTATATAGTATATAGATTCTCCCGGATTGGCCTGGTTTTGCATTTCATAATTACATTGTAAGGCACAGGTCTCTTGACTGGTTTCCCAACCGCGACCCACAAAGGAAGCGCGCGATCATTCAAGCCTCTGTGGTTTTACCTTTTTTTCGCTGCATGGATCCAGGTGAAAGACTACGCTGCATGGATCCAGGCATCTGTTGCGAGTAGCTCTCCTGTGGCGCAAGTGTGGCTTGGATGATGCAAGACCTCTGCAGGGTTTGGCCAGGTTTTTGGAGAGGTTTTCGGGTTGTGTCTATGGGCTGAAGAGGGTACCATATTCAGCATTTGGGTGATCCCAATTCCATGTTGTGTGTAATGATCCTTCAAGTCCCAATCTAGGAGGGTTCCTTTGCAGAATCCTTTGGGCCCCAAAACTGCTTCACCCTGCATCGTACCAAGGCCCACCCCGCAGCGCCGTACCCGCCCACCCCTACCACCCCTCACTGCCTTGCCCTTGAAAGCCGACGCTGATCCGGTCGGGGGCTTGGTTGAGATTTTGATCAAAGGCTATTGATCAGATGCTTCATGTGAAAGATTTTTGATATCAAAGTTGCCAATTGTCACAAGTGATTTCAGATTGACTTTGTCAAGTCATTGGAGGAATCAACTGGAGAAGTTAAGCGTCCCGGGGCCAATGCCTGCAAGCAAGCAGACTGACAATGGTTGGAATCCAAGCATGATACCAGCTGCACAATGATAAGGCACCTAAACAGAACAGTATTTCTAGTCCATGGAGAATCACAAGTAGCTGGTTGGTCAGCCATTCTCTTGATCATTCAGCTCGATACGCATCTCATTTAATCCGTCTTGGCACCCTTGTTTTGATACAGCTTCTGCGGCCTCCGTTTCGTTGAGTGCACGAAGCTGCCGTGCATCCACCTCAACAGATACAAAAAACCGCCAAGCAAGGGAGTGACATAGGGCACCTCAGTCATTCGCATGTGCGAACCCCGCGAAATTTGTATCACTGCAAGACCCATTCTCTAACCACTCTTGACAGCCTTTGATCTGAAAGCAACATTCTTCATGTGCTTAAACATGAAGTATATAGGAATTGAACTCTGTACATTGGAAACAATCTAAAGACCATAAATCAAAAGAGAAGAAAAACAAAAAGCTATTAGGTTGGAGGCCATTGCTTAGAACCCTTCGCAACGCTCCCGGGGTTGGCCATTAATCATCAGGTTGGGGGCCCAAAGACGACCCGTGGGAAAGACACTTTTGGAGAACGCAGTTGGACGACCCGTGACTCTTGTCACCTGCAGTTGGAGCCGCACTTGGCATTCCTGGTGCGTGCCCCTTCAGTGGATCCGAGCCCCGAGGCGCGAAAGAAGTTGGGGAGGAAAGTGGCTGAAGCGAAAACCAAACACATGGTGTCCATGGTGCTGCAGCCTTTCCTCACCACCTTCGAAGTTGGTTTTCTTGAAGATGAGATGCATGAAATCACACTCTTCATCTTCGTCATTGTTTGGACCAGCCCATCCTCGCAAGCTCTCTCTCTCTCTCTGTCTCTCTCTCGGGACGTTCCAGGGCTTTGGACTTGCGGCCGGACGTGCGGCCAGGTGCGTTTCAAACGTGCACAATCCAGTGGCCAACTCGAGCGAAGGCAGGGCCAATTTGGTGAGAAACGGGAAACAGAGGATTTCGCTTGTCTCCCACATGTTTTCGCAGTTGTGGTCAGTGCATTGACTCTGACCCCAGAGAGGTCCTTGTAGGATGTTCCGTCCTCAACATCCGGACTTTGGGCCGACAGGAAGCGGACGCATCCGCCATTGACCAAATATCCTCTCCGGCGGTCACTGATGATTTGGAAGCCTGTCGCTTGACGAAACTGGAGGGTGAGCATCGAGTATATCTACAGTAATTCCTTTTACTAGGCAGAGCACTTGCAAGAAAGATAGCAATTTGTGCTAGTGCTCGAAGTCTCTCTTGAACAGCATGGCATGGTCCTGTCACATGTTGGCCGTACCATTCCATAATGGATGGCTCTTTTGGTTTTGCACACGCTTTCATTTGTGGATTCTAATCACAATGCTTTGGGCTACCTCAAGTATTTCAAGGGTTGTCTTCCAGAACAGATGAATTGCAGAAACTGGTCCGCAGTTTTGCAGCTTGCGAGGACCGGCCCTCTCCTTTCTCAGCATGTTTCTACCGTGTTTTGGTCCCTGCAAGGTTGCTGAAGAGGACCTGCGCAGCGGACAGCTCCAGGCAGGGTGATCTGTAAGCGGCCATACTGTTATTTCTTGCCATCTTGAATCATGGATACCCCAGTTTGCTTGCAACATGAAGGGAGACCCATTTTGGAACAAGGAGGGCCGGGCACATGTGTGAAGATCCTCGCTAAGCAGTCTATGCTCCCTTGCACCAGAGAAGCTTCTGCTTTGCGGACAACATCTCAAGTTTCAAACTCCCAAACCCTGGTTTCCTGAATTCGTAGATTTGCTTTAGTAACAAGAAGCTACTAGGGCTCCTGGCCGTACTACTAGGAGAAGCTACTAGTAACAAGGGCCTCGCTTCTATAAGTGTTTCTTTCCATGTTTATGCAGGCGCGGCGTGCACAGACAGGGCCCTTCTGAGGGCGTCTGTGTGCGTTGGCAGAGCTGTACCGTGAGGCCCGGGAAGTGTGCTTGAAATCACGTGGGCGAGGATGCCAAGATGGCCTGAAGGTCAGTTGACAATCAAGTGGCAGTTTTCAACCATCCCTACCTTCTAGGGGGTCTTCAGGGACTCTAGGCATCTTTGTTGAGCATGTTGAGAGGAAGAGATCCTTTCAGAAACTTCCGCCCAAATTTTCGAAAGCCTTACGCGTTGCCGCGTTGTAGAGATCTCTGGGTTTGGCTCAAGAATAGCTATAGGCTATACAAAACTGGAGTTTTTGAAGGGTTGCCAATTCTTGAGCCCTACTCACTTACAGTTCTTGCGTTTAATGTTGGCTAGGGGAGCCGCGGAGCACCGTTTGTGCCCACGAAGTCCAGATTGTTTTCGCTTTGCAAGTGTGAAGAAGTAGCATTTTCCCTTTACTCTGGACTTCTGGCTGCCAAGTCAACCAGGCTCCAGAGCACAAAGACGAATCCCTGTTCTTGTCCACAGAGGGGTAAGAACATTTGCTCAGGTGCTAGAGATGCAGAACTGACAAGAACAGAACGTATCGATATCTATGTTCAACGTCAAAGAAATGCAAGATACCTACTGGAAACCACCTCCATAGACTGGTCTTTCGAGCTCTGTCCTTCCGAGTACGATTATATACAGCCGCCATTGCAACAACTGCAGGCAGCTCCAATTTTGGGTCCCCCGAGATCAAAAATCAAAGATTGGCTTGTCCTCTCTGAAGTGGGACATGCCAGCTGTACAAAGCAGCTTGCACAGCCACATCTTCCACAACATCAGGTCGGAAGCCGCTGCCAAAGTAGCTGCTTTCATGGCCTTGTATGCTTTCTGGAAGGCTTTGCTGGAAGCTAGCAGCAAACAGTAAAACGAAACAATGACCTGAGAGCTGGGAAGCGACCCAAAGCTCAATAGAAGCTGAGCTTCGCCTCCTTCCCGCACCATCGTCAAGGAAAATGGTGTGACCACATTGGATTTGCCTCAGTTTGAAGGCTGGTCGAGGTAGCACGTGACCTCAAACATGACCGCAACGAACCGTTTGGCCGATCAACTCACTGTAAGACCGGTAGGTCTCCTATCTCAAACACAATATGCTGCTTGCGTGCACAGCTGGATTGCCGAGATTATGATCATATATGTGGAAACATGCTATCCCGCGATTTCTTTGTGTGCTCCATTTCGACTCATCACCCTTTTTCCTGGGATTTTGTGGAGGAGTTTGACAACTTCGACCAGATTGCTCTCGCCTGTGCCTCAGTTGGCCACCGCTCACGTTCGGAAACTCACCAGTTTGGAGTCGTTTCCGCACAAGGGTCGAGGGCCGTTTGTCCGACGGTTCTCGACCGAAAGTGGCTCGTCCAGAGCTTCTCCCCCCCGAGCTTCTTCCATCATTCCATCAACACCGGATTTGAGCAGATCAAATCCTTGGGTCTGGTTCAAGAAGGCTGGTGCCCCGAGGCTCAAAAGCTGGAGAAGCATGAACTGATCGAGATGCGTCGCATTGCCACCCTGGTGCGCCGTGCCACCCTGGGTGGTTTCGCGTTGAGTCTTTATGAAATCCACCAGCTGAGATGGTAAAAGAAAGACCAACATGCAAGTCGGGAAGGAGAAGAAGGATAACGGCTTCTTTTCAGTGGTCAACTGATGGTCCAGCACCATGGCGACCATGGTTTTGATCCGCAGGTCTACCAGAAGAACAAGCGCTACAAGCAGGCTATCGAGCTTGCTCAGCATGACAAGATGTACAAGGAGAGTCCTTCGTTTTCTTTTCATGAAGGAGATCTGCTGGAAGTGTAGTTATAGGCCAACAAAGATCAACAAGACTTTAGTGACTAGGAAGCTTTGTTACGAATCAAGGGAAGGCACAGGTTGTTCCAGTTTACCACAATAGAAAGTTCATGAAAGTTCGCTTGATGGCAACCAATCTCTCAAACTTACGATCTAGTGTAGTTTTCTGGATTCAGGAAAATGACCCAAAGCCCAGCTTACCATCCAAAGCACATCTTTTGCCTTTGCATTTTTTGTTTCTGAAGTTGATCATGGCCCGAACTGCCCAAGAGGGTGCGGCTGATCGCGTTGAGCACCTTTGTTTCCTTTGGTAGCTTCTCAGAACGCTTCACCAGGACTGCATGGACAGCGCCATGGCAAGTGGAAATCAAGATTTGGCCGGACCATCTCAGCAGGTTTTCATTGGGTTCTCTGGTTTCACCGTCTTTGACCATCCACTTGACGATGTGGTTGTTTAGAAGACCGGATAGCACAGTATACTGCATGCAAAGTTGTTTTGCTCAGTGGAATAACATTTCATGATGCTCCAAAAGAGTTGGCCAACACACAAGAAGTTCACATCCATGTGGATACTGTATATATTTATAACGTATACATGTATATATGATTAAACTATATGTAATTATGTGTATATATCTATGTATTATTTATGTATGTATTTGTTGCTAACATCAAAAGGATCTCCAAGCACTCCAAGAATGGATTCCTCCGAGGCTGAAGGCCTGTTAAAGTACTTCGTCGAAAAGGAGATGAAGGCCTTTGGCAAAACGGAGCTCCTGAAAATGCCCGAAATAGATTTGCATTCTGGCCAACGACCTAGAAACACTGCAGCCGCTTCAATCTTTGTATTGAGTCGCATTTTGCCATGTGCCTCGAGAGAGACTCCAATGAACCTACAAGTAAACACCCCTCACTCGTCCTCGCACTGTTCAAAGACATTTGGGTGCTCAGCTTCGTGCTTGAACGCAACAGGAATGCTTTGCGGCATGCTTGTACACATGCTACGACCTCATTCGTCGGGGGCCTGAGCCACGAAAGAATGTGACTGTTGGACAAGAGTCTGGCATCCGGGTGAGATTAGTCAATAGTTTGCACCAAGTCGAGGGTCTTCTCCAAAGGCGTCGGGCCTAGGGCCACAGCGTGTGGGGATTTGTCAAGACTCAGACTTACAGTAGATAGTAAATGATCCAACATTGGCTTTTGAAAGATGAAACACATTCTTGGGTGCAATTTCATGGTCGATGCCTTCACATACACTGAATCTAGGCAGCCCTTCCAGCCCTCTCTAAACCGACCCGCTCGCTTGGCCCAAGCTCTCCGGCATCATGGCGGCCGCACGACGTGCGCGACTGCCAGCGCTGGCGCTCGCGCTGCCGCTCGCGCTGGCGCTGTCGCCCTTGCGGGTGGGGAGTCCGGCGCCTCTTCGCGGGTGGTAGAAACGGCCGACCGTGGCCAAGCGGCCGATTGTTATTTGGCGCGTCTAAAAGCCATGGGGCCATGGGTTCTTAGAGCCACCAAGTCTGTTACATGTACTTAGATCCTTTCTGATTTTTTGGTCTTTCGCAGCAAAGCAGCTTTGAGCTTCTGTACCTCAAAAATATTTTCAAGTTTCAAGGCCGGCATGCATGTTCGATACCCTAGGATCGGTTTCTGGGCTATTCCTGCCAAAAGTGGGATCAATACCGATGATGTTCTTTTAATGCAGAAGCTAAGCATATCTGAAGGCATGGCTTGCGCCAGAGCCTCCAAGAAGACAGATGCTCTTGCTGCCAGGCAGGGAACTTGGGGTATGCAACTCTCCATTTTCAGATTCCTTTCTTGCGTGTTTGTTCTTGCCCAAGAAAACAAGCGAATCGCCGGGGCTGACATCCGACATTCGTCGAACAATCAATTTCACAAGCTGACTACACACATCAGCGAGTCTAAGATGTCTATGAATTTTGGGCACGTGCTGTGACAGAAGGTTCTTGAATGTTTAACTGCTAGCTTTCACGTGAAGCAGACAATGGTTGACATTCGCATCCCGGGTTGGTGTTCCTGGATGTTGTGATACTGGAGTGCTATACATGGGTCAGCATATCAGGGGCTAAGACTTGCTCCATCTGAACACTTTGGATGGTAGGACACAAGTGAATGTATGCAGCACATCTCCCTTTTCGTACGACTCGTGCAAGACCCCCACGAGCGAACTTCCAGCGCGTACGGTGATCATCTGGTTTGTTCCTTGGAGTTTGGTCAGAACTCAACCCCGCACTACCATGACAAGTTCATTTCCCAGTCAGTTCTCCAAGTAGATTCAGAATGATTCAGTGGTGTACTGGATCCACTTCACCCCTGAATTTGCTGGCTGTGAAATCACTCTCTGTAGCCTCCACAATGCCTCGAGGCCTCTTGGGCGCTCCACTGCCTGCGGGGGCCGTTGGCTTCTCTCCTGCCGATATTGGGATGGCCGAGGTCGATCCTCGAGAAGGGCAGAGAAGGGCAGTTGGAATGGAGCGACGGGATGGCAGCAACCGCACCAGTGATTTCTATCCATGTACGGTTTGCACATCAACTGATTGAATATGAATGATTCATACTTCCTTCAGCAAACACGGATTTTTTTTCTCTCCCACTCAAGCAGATTAGCTTAGCTTTGCACATGATGCAACCTGACATGCATTCCTGACCAGGCACCGGCTCCAGCACAAGTTCAGCGTGTCGAGGCCGACTGTAGCTTGTAGGAAAACATCAACTATGTTTGGAGGAATCCTGGCCAAATGACATGGAACAATGGCTGCCCTTGCACTTCAGAGACTGTCTCACAAAACAGAAGCACAGATGGAGAGCCTATCTCCCTTGTCCCACACTTGTTTTTCCACTCCAAAAAGGGGCCCAGGGCAGAGTGAAGCCCCTCCTCCTTCTCATTTCCAGGACGTTGATGAGCTGGAGAAAGCGTTATACCTGATCAGCCGTGTCCAAGAGGCCCCGGGGCTTGAACACAGGGCAAAGCACATCTTTCATTAGTCTCATTCAGGCCCAGCAAATGCCAGGCCACCGTGCAGCAAGAGCGCTTGGTGTCCACTGGCAAGTTCAAGGAGACCACTTTGCACGTGGTGTGCAGGCATACCAGTGTGAGGACTAGTGGTAAGCACACAGTCCTTCTTCGAGGTTGACTAAAAACGATGACCGTGTGAAGTTTTTGTATATAGTAGCTTCTTGTTCCTAGTAGTAAGGCCAGGAGCTACTAGTAGCGTCCTTGCTCCTAGTAGCGATGCCCTTTGTTACTAGTAGCTTTTTGTTCCGCATGGCTGTGGTTTGGGCTTCGCAAAATCCGATGTAATGTGCGCCGTGCTTAGACTGGACTGGATGTCCCGTCCAGTCTACCATGCGTGTCAGACGGATGCAGGACGTACAGCGAAACTCCATCACCATGGTGACCAGCTTAGCGTTCGCTGAACGAGCTTGACTCAGTGACCCACAAGGGCTCTGGCCAGAACTGCAGGAACAAAGGCTTTGGTTGCCTACGGGTTGAAAGAAATGCTGTAGTGTGTCTGGCTGGCTAGCGCACCCTTTTTGGCAGCTTGCAGTCTCAATTGAATCTATTTGAGAATCCAAGTGGGGTCCACACGGTGCGCACGTCTTTTGTCCGATTATGACCCTGGCCTAAGCGTCAGAAAATCAGAGCAATTGCCTGAGGCTTTGAACATGATGATGGACAATTATCGCCTTGCTGATCAGGTCCGAACTTTTATCTCTTCCGGAGAACTGATTCCAAAAAGAATCAATTCAGCCACAAAGTGTGGCTTTGCTTGTATGCCTGTTCTAGGTCAGTCTTTTTGCATACAAGATCATGTCGTTTCAAGGCAATGGTTCTCACTGGACATGACTGCTTGAAAGTTATTTTTCGGCATTGAATTGTCGCACAACTTCAATCGACGACTGAACGCCGGCTTGGCCTGGCCAGGTCGTGACTGCTGCAGGCTATGTGGAACCCAAAGAGAACATCGTCAAGGCGGACCATGACTTGGAGTCACATAGGAGGGCAACCTTGGGGAGACATACCACATATTACTGTATATTGTATATCACAATTTCTATATAGTTCGAAATCCTTCCAGTCTTCAGATTGGGACTTTGTATTCAAGCTGCTTGAAAAGGCATCCCACTGTGCCAGGCCAGCCAAGTCGGCAATGACGCGGTAGAGGTCTTGGAGACCGCCAAGGAATACTTTGGCCAGCCACTCAAGGCCGAGAGGTGATGGTTGTTGAGAGGGCCAGCAGGGTGCAGCAGGGTGCACCAGTTGACTTGAGCATTTTTTGAGGCAAACTGTCTGAAGATGTCATGAAAGGGACCCAACGAGTCCAATTGACTTGTTCTTTGCCTTTCTTCCTTTTGGCTTGATTCTTCTTCAAGTAAAGGAACTTCATGGGAATGCACAAATCGAAAACACATTACTTTACATACCCTCGACAACGAGGTTAAGACTTTTCACCAGCGGTGTTTCCCGCCCTAGCTTCAACAGGTCTCCGGCCTCACAGATGAACAAAGCAGCTTGGAGTTTTGATAACTCACGTATGTGCAAACACAGGCTCATTATGGTCTTTTTGCAGAGCTCTGTTTGCCGACAAGGCTTTGATGATAGCAAGATGTAGGCATGTTCTAGCTTTGCCTCGTTTGATTTGCAGATGCGCACAGAAAATAGCAACCAAGTTGAGCTTGATCAGAGGTTCAAAAGACTCACTGCTTGACTAGATTGATTAGAAAGGACACAAAATCCAGCAACCGCCTTGGACACCTCCTCGTTGCTCAGGAAAGTTCATCATCGAGGCTATGCAAGCCTGCAGCTGCTTGCTGGAATTTGTTTGATGTTACATGATCGACGAAAGCCTTGTCATTGGCAACTCCAATGAGAACTTGTATTCCGATATTTACTGCTCCAAAGTGCTATGTATGAATATGATTCAATGATTGGCTTGGGAAGACAGCTTAGAGGTGCTTCGGGTTTAAAGACTCCAGGCCCAGGCAAAACAAAGGAATAGCAGTCAAACTTGAAGTGAAGGGCGGCTGAGACTTCTTTTTTTGGTTTCTAGATGAAGCCGAAGCTAACACTCCCACAAACACGTGAAAAGAACAAGAACGGAAGTTGGCCCCGTCTCCTCCAGAAGTTCCATGGGCGGTCAATTCCGCTCACCCATCGACCATCGACCCATCGTCACGACCTGTCGGCACACGAGCTTGTCGTCCTGTCCTCGTGTTCAAGGAACCAAGCTGGACAACTTCTTGGCCGCTTAGCTCAGAAGGTTCTGGGCATTGCGAGACATGGTTGATAGAGTTGAATGACAGGGAGTTGGTTTTCCATGTGCTTGGGGTCTTCAAGGGGATTTGGTGGATTGATGTCATTGTTTTTGCCAAGCCCTGTTGTGTGCGGGTTGATCACGAGTGGTGTATCCCTTTGTGCTGATTGGTGCTCATCACCGCTCCTGTGAGACTCTCAAACAGCGCAGAGATTTTGAGGTCTATGTGCCAGAAGACGTGCTTCAAAAAGCCAGAAAGAGAGTAGAGGATGAGAGCCCTGGACATGATCAGTGCGGGTGGACTTGCCATATTTGGAGATGGTGATTTTTCCTTTATTGGGTTGATCGTGATGTGCGGGGCACATAAATCATCAAGCCACATGTTTGACCAAATGAACAGAACCGGAATTGGATTTGTGAGGTCGTTCACCAAAACCCATTGTTTGTGTTCGGTCCCGAAACACAGTGATGCACCAAGGAACGAACTCAACCGGCAGGAATACGCTGGTGAGGACGGCCGCCTTTTCCTTCCACCGGCTCGCGCGGCGCTATCGCACAAAAGCCGTGCAAACAATTGATCTGGGAAATTTCCGTTTTCTTCGGCCGCGGACAGCGCATGTGAATCCCGCCTATTCCAACGTAAAACTCATGAAAACGAACGCCGTATCGGGCGGAATCACACAACATTCTAGGTACGAATGGCCCTAGGACAAGACCCGGCCCACCTTCAATCTGGAGACGATCTCTCCGAAAAGCCATTTACAATCGTCAGAGGCCACTATCACCAGCTGGCAGACACTTGGAGCCACTTGCAGACACTCCCAGCTGATTGATAGTTGACATGCCCGAAATCAACACAGATCAGGAGCCCCTAGGCCACTTGCAATCACTGGAGTGGAGTGGCTGCAAGTGGCTCCATACAAATTCGACCGCTTTGCTTTGAACCTAACCTAGTTCGTGGAGAAACTCAGACATCGCCCAAGACATATTGGATACAAGTCACCTTCAAAGTTGAGGAACATGCTTTGGTTTCAGACTCACCATCCATCGCAAGAAGAAGGGGGCCAGTCAAAGTGTGGCAATCACTCTGATCAAGTCTTAGCCCCGACATCGAACATCCCGCTTACTCATGACTTGAGATAATCCTTCTCTTCACAGCCGCAGGATGGAGGCATCCTCAACCCGGTGACTCTTCCGTGGCTGGACCGAGAAACACAGACCTGGTGACTGGTAACTCCTGCAACCAACGCATGTCATGTCCGATGTCCTGCAGGACTGATATGATGTTCGGTGGTGTCACGCACACAAAAAACACATACGGTACACTGGTAGGGGCATCACTCATTTGCTCGATGTCCTTCCTCCGATCACCGAGGTGGAAGGAGCCCAAGAGGAAGCCACGATGACTCGACGTTCGGTCGATTTTGTACACTTGCGGCATGGATGAGAGGCCATGTTGACATTTTCCGTTCACTCCGTTGACTCCGTTCAGGAACAGTCCTGCTGGACACGTTTCTTTGGGGAATTTTCAGATCCACAGACCGTCTCGGTAGATGAGTCTCCTCTACATCCACGCCGAAAGCAGCTGGTTTCCGCCAGCCCGGGAGACCCCTGGACCGACCGCCACGAGTCAGTTTTCGCGGATGAGAAAAGGTGCTTAGGTTCGGTCGGATTCCAGCAGAGTCGGTGGGATAGCGAGTGATGAGTAGAGCACACATGGCTGAAACGATAAGCTAGTTGTGTGGTTTGGGATTGTTTGCATTTGTTTGGGATTGTTTCCACTTGTGATGTTTGTCTTTTAACATCTTTTAACTTCTAACCCGTTAAAGCATCATTCAATTCTTTTGCAATCCGCCGACCGATCTCCGGCGACGCCGACAAACACACCGCCGGTGAGTCCGTCCGAGGCCCGGATATCGCCCTCGAGCTGGCCTGGAAGAGCCGAAACATGGACTTTGCCATGCCCTACCTGATCCAGGCAGGTTTTGGACGGTTTTGGGGGAGGGGTGCCCAGCTTTGAGGGCTTTGCGGGGGCCCTTCAGGGCCGTCAAGGCCATCAGGGCCTTTTCATCTTTGCAGCTCTTTCCGATCGCCACATCGCTTCAGCTTACAGGTGATGCGAGAATACACCGATCGAGTGAATGCACTGGACAAGAAAACGTGCCTTGGCCGAGTTCGCCACGATTAATTTTGAGATATTGAAGGGGTTTCGGACCTCAGAATGGCTTGGAATGTGTGGGACAGCATTACTTTATTTTTGTTTATTGTATATATTTATAATATTACTTATTATATTACTATTATTACTATTATTTTTTGTTATTATTGTTATTTATTTTTATTGTTGTTATTATTACTTTTTTTTTAATGGTTATATATATATATATATGCATGTATACATATGTATACTCCGACAGGTACACGTTTCGCTTGGTTGAAGAGGTTCAGGTTCGCAGGAGTTTCGGGGAAAGTTGCAGTGGTTCTAGACGAAGGTTTTGGGAGGTGAGCTGATTCTAAGGCGGGTCCCAGGATGCTCCTCACGCGAAATGTGTTTTTGTTTTGGGTTGATTGCATTTTGGTTTATATAGTTTAATTCTATCAATTGCAGATTCAGATGTGACAGTGAAGTCGCAGGAAGCTGAGGGTCGGTTCTCGCACGTTTTTACTTGGTGACTCCTGCAATGCGTGAACCAAGTACAAGCTCTCAGTTCTGCATCTCAGGCAGAAAAAGGAAGAAGAGGAGGAGAAGCAAAAGAGCGCTGGAAACTCAAGGTATTGCAACTGCTAAAGGCCATGGGCACTGTGAACCTTGACATCATATCTCCAGATATACACTTTAGGGCGCACAAGACAAAGAAACACAAGCCTGTGACGTTGTCCCTCATCAAGAATCGGACACGCTCAATTGATCTTTTATTGAAGACTAGAAGGCCGGAACTCAACCGGATTGTCAGCCAACTCTCGAGCTCTTCTGTTCTTTGACCCAAGGCTCCTAATGACTATGTGCCGGATTACATGATGCCGACCATGGGACCAGGTGCCTGAGATGGAGTGTCAAGGGCCAAACTCTCCATGAACGTGGACACAAAAGCAGTCCTCGGATTGTGTGAGGACTCACTGGCTTCGGGAACTTAGCGCTGACCAGTGGCAGAGGGCCTCAGGGCGCCTATCACTATGCACATGATTCATGTGTAGGGTGACTTTATGAAGAAGTCAAGAAGGCGCTGTGCGGCACTGCGCCCTTGATTCAGATAGGAAACTGCGATTGAGATAGCCCCATTTGAGGTCCGGCCAACATGCAGCCCATGATGCAGGGGACCTCATTGCACAAGGAACCAGGTGTTCTACTTAACAGACTCCTGCAAAACTGGAGCAATGTCTACATCATGAAGGGCCAGGTCAGAACTTTGCATAGAGTTGTTATTTTTATTTTTATTTTTTTTCAAGGGGTCTATTGCTGTCATTGTTTGAAGCCTGGGTCTGAAATTTTGGACTGGCAGGACAACATTTGGTGCAACCACGCTCTCGTTTCTGAGCAAATCAACAACATCAAACACATCTCTTCCGTGGGTCCGCCATGATGCTTGTAAAATCTTGCAAAGGACCATAGCCAAATGACTTGTGAACATTTTGTACCATTTTTTCTTTGTGTTCGGGTAAAGGCTTTTTAGGATCAAAGTGCAACTGATCTGAACCTTTCAGTCTGAGTCCATCTGGCAGCTTGGTGACTTGGTGTCGTGTGTGGCCAAACGAGGATTGCAAGGGGTGATGAAGCTCCTTCAACTCCTTAGACACTTGTGGCTCGTGCAAAAGCACTTGGGAAAATCTTCAGAAGCTGAGGGGTAACACTATGAACATGGGCATGCAGCCCCAGCCTGGTATGCAGCGGGGCACCCCGGATCGGCTGTCCCGGATGAAGACAAGTTCATACGGTCAACGAGGTACAATCTACTACGTTTAAGTCGAAGACCTCAAGTTGACAGCACCCAGAGACCCAGAGAAGCATCAGATGCATTCGATTCATATGAGGGCTTTCAGTAGGTCTGAGGCAATGCGGCGGATCTTAAGATTATCATCACGAGAAGGCAGCCCTACAGAGTCTCAGATTTGATCTCAGAATTTCGAGGTTTCACGCCCTGTCCTGGCTTCTTGGCCCTGCCCAGGCCAAGCATGATGATGACTCCAAACATGGGCGGCTTTTGAGTTGCGCTAGGCCCTCAGGTGCTCATGTGCCTTGTGTGCGATGTAGTGGTAGGCGTTGCTTGGAAGCAGAATACCCTCTTGCGTTTGATGCAGGAAACAGTAGTGGCTGGGTGTACATTGTTGATGTGGAAACTCATCCATCCATCTCACTCTAGATTCAACAAACAATTGCCTGCAACCATCAAGACTTGGTGTGGTGGTTTTACTCCACTCAAAAAACCCGCTGGAAATTCAGCCAACTGCTGGCCCTTATGTCGTCGCCGGATTGTGAAGGACTTCGTTTGTCCCAGCCAGGCGGGCAACCACTAGACCCTGCAACGCTTGACTGACGCCAAATCGGTGCTCGGGGGCGGGGCAGAGTCTCCGCCAAATGGTCCACGAAAGAAACCCATGAAAATTGAGGATTGTCAAATGAGCTTGTCTACCTTCAAAGATGTAAATGCAAACCTAAGACCTAGTGCTGAAGAGCTGTTTTTTGCTTTCGGGCTTCTTTTGCTAGTATGGTTCGTCAAGGGGCTACGTCAGATTTCGAGCCCCGGACCAATGAATGAATCTAGCATGCTTTCCAAGCAAGCTTAGGTTCTAGAATGAACGTAACCAGCAGAAGACCACCACACCACCAGCCTTTTTGGAGGTGTGAAGCTTGAGCTTGCTATTCTCCTTGCAGGATAAAAACCCAGGTGAGCATCAAGCTGCGGAATTATAGTCGGCAGCAGAACGTGGGTTCAATTGATCCCATCCATACCTGCCAGCCTTCGGTGCGGCCCTTGCAGAAAAAAGACCAAAGACCGTAAGGAATTGCTTCTTGTTACTGTAGTAACATGTCCTCCAAGCTAATAGCGATGGTCTCCACCCTAGTGGCTTCTGGTTCCTAGTGCACAGAGTATTTGATTGTCCCTCTTTGCTGCACAGAGCAATCAAAAGACTAGAAACCGCTCTTTTACTGCATTCTGATCGCTCCTTTTGCGACTCCATCCGAAAGACAGATCTCATCCGGAGTCGATCGGGCGGGATGGCAAGCAGGACCTGCAAATTCATGGGCTCAAGGCGAAGTGGCAAGGTAGGTAGGGTGCGGCGCGTTCCTAGCATCGCCTGGACCTCAGGCGGTGCGTGTGGCGCACCTCAGTGGTTCATTTCCTGCACATCTGACAGAATGTGACTGTGCATGGTCGGGATGATGTTTCCTCCTCGCTTGAGGACGTGCTATGCGGTTGAAGTTAACTCATGAGGACTGAAACAGTTGGTGGCGTCAATCCAAGACGATTGACACGGGGCCTGACCGTACTCTCAAGAGCCAAGAAACGCCTGATGAAGATGATGGCAAAGACGTGGGGGCGGTAACAGAGGCGGGCTCGGTTCTTCTCAGACCAGCAGTCCAAAGACTGGTCATGCACCCCTTGTAACCATCTTGGCTATTGGCTGCCATCACTTGCACCCCACCACTACTGGGCATGGGCTGAAACCTGGAGGCAAACCTGGGTTCACCTTCTATCTCTTCTTCTATCTCCTTCTTCTTCTTTTTCTCTTCCTCCTCTTCTTCTTGTTGAGGTGGAAGGCGAGCTAAGGAGACCGTTCAAGAACGTGTCCCCAAAAAGGTGAACTCAACAACTCGAAACTGCATCTTCACTCAAGGTGTTTAGGCTTTGGGCACCTGCAAAGCCGCTTGTTCATCACCTGTGAGGATGCGCCTAAGCACAAGTCATTGGTGACTGCCGTGGGCTGGTTGGCAGCTCAGGATGCCATGATATTGCATGTGATCCTTGCTTCACAGCTAGCAGCTAGCTTTGTCGTTTGCGTGGGGGAAATTGTGGTGCATGGCTTGACTTTTGCAGTTGAACCACTACAGTGCTGAGGTACAAGACAGGCAAGCAGTATGAGCTTCTATCTGTGGGTGACGATCAGGAGCACTTCAAATTCTTCGGGTCGCAGCATGTTGTGTTTCCGTGGACCGAGTCAGGTTTGAAAGCATGAACCAGGAAAGGAGGCACCTCATGTAACCAAACTACTAGCAGAGTGTGGAGACACAAATCTTTGCCCTGCCAAATGGACAACGACCAGCTGAGCGCCTAGCAAAGAAACGATGAAACCTGGCTTGAATGGTCCAGCTGATGCAAGAAGGAGTGCTGGAAGTGGCATGTTGAAGGGTCGCCCATTGTGACCGCCTGAGAACATCCATGTGTATCAGTGAACATTTCTACGACAT